GATAACATCCAGGTGAAGTTTGACCTTGAGTTTCAACGAAAAAAAAAAAGTCGACATCCAACGTATAAATAGCAAAAGTAATATCTATTCAAACAACAATCTATTTACTAATCAAGCAGCAAAAATGGCATCAAAAATGACTCGATATCAAAGACACCGCATGAGGTCGTTTGGAAATCACGTGATTAGTTTTTTAGTCATTTTGGATACCTTTTCCCTCACTAATTCTGTTAGTCTAAAAATATCCATATTTTTTTCGAAAAACCTTGACATTTCTTGAGTCCGTGCATATTTTTATGTTCTCGGATCGTCAACATCATTTTGTCGTTTTCTCAGCAATAAAACAAGAAAAATGGAGTCTCCTCATTTATGACACTTTGATGTAATGATATGAACTGTAGCCATGGGTGGCGCATCAGCACTACAAGGAGAAGCAATTGCTTTCCCTAATTGTTCATGTTTCATCCGTATGTTATTTCTCCATGTTTTCTAAACTTTTGATTATCAAGTAACTTAAAGTTCTACTTCTTTCTGTTGTTGCCCATAATCACCGTATTAAAACATAGCTAATCATAAAGAGATCAACTAGCTGCTAACATAGATAGTTAAATAAAGAATTTCAATGTGAAGACCGCAATATATTCAATTAATTCTTGGGTTTATAATTTAATCAAGAAGCGATAGCTGTTAAGATGGCAGACAATCTTTCACATGAGTATCAACTCGAAAACTCAATGATTAGTGAGCGGAAGGTAACAATAAAAAAACTTGAGTTCTGCTAACTCGTTCTGAATACATCGGTTCTTACTAAAAAACGTTACACTAATCTCAAACTCTAAGACCTCATCCTCAAAAATCGATTTCAGTGCCAAGTACATGCAAATTCTTTGAAATATCCAGGGTATATTAGGACTAAAGTGACGACGCTATGGGAAAATTTTCATGTCAGAATGTAGGGCACCATAGAATCATTTTTTAAAAATTCTTGCTTTTTAGGCTGAGAAAAGGGATCACAAGTTCAATAATTCAGAAAACCCTCTAGAAATGGCAGCCAATTTACATAAGTTTTTGCATGTATAATAAAAAAAATAAAGCTTAATTAATAAAGGACTATATGATGCCCTGCATCTTGACGTGTTCTTTCAAACAAAAAAATTAAGTATATTCAATAAGCCTGGATAGAGAAACCTGGGTTGTGCATTCGACAAAGTATCATCTGAGCAAAAAAGGAAAACAATTCCGTTTTTTGGAATAAAAAACTGTTTTTTGACAAGTGGATGATAAAATTTATCAAAAGTTTTGCCTCAAAACAGGATATCGATTTAGAAATAATGCTGTTTCCGAAAGAATAGAACGCGAGCTATCTTCTCGTGCGTTTATTCCAATTTTCATTCTTTTTTAACAAAAATTGACTTTTTCTGAGTGGGCAGGCTTTAATATGCTGTGAAATAAATTGATACACAGGCATCCAATATTATGTTCTTGAAAAAATATAGTCTCATTATAAAACTTATTGCTTCCCCTAAAAAAGTGAACTTGCGTCGCCCATGACTGTAGGAGTAAAGGTTTCATTCTTTTAGCTTCCTCCCCAAGCAAACAAAAAACAGCATACGATGGATGCGGCGAGCGGTCGGAAATTTGATACATATATATTTTGTTCGTTCTGTTTCAATTTTGATCCCTTCGGCACCCATCGAATTTCGAGTACTCCGAGAGAAGCCACCTATCGAAATAATGCTACCGACTCCTCTAACACGTTCTAATCACTCGACTAAAATAAACATATTGAAAGGATCATATTGAGTGCTCCAATAGAGTCCAACCGATCATAAAAACAGTTTTGACAGAGGAATCTATAATCTTGATCATGTGAAATTTCTTCAAAATCCGATTTTAAAATATTCTTTATTTTTACTCAATAATTTTAGTAGAATTATTCGAGTTTGCTTCATAATTCACCTTAATTTCAGAATTTTCTGATCAAAATTGATCGTCCACTGATTGAAACTAAAACTAAAATTCGCCTGCTTTTTTTGACTAAGACAGCAATAATGAATGTTCACGTTGTGAATTTTAAAAAAATATTTCTAAATATTAACCTCATGCTTCCACGTGCAAATTGGCTGGTTATCACATATTGCACGTCATATTTATTCAATAAGTAATATATACGGAATCTTAAATAAAAAAAATTCTTGTGCCACTTACAGAGATATAAAAAGTTCTTTTTCTTGATGAAATTTTTTTCATGATAAAAAAATTTTTCTCGATAAAAAATATAATTTTTACTGTTCAAGAAATAATCTTTTTTCTGGCTGAAAAATATTATTTCAAATTTTTAAAGGAAATTTTTGTATCTGGACAAAAAAAAATATTATTTTCAGTTTTCAAAAAGAAAGTCCAAAATCAGAAAGCATGAAAAACAGTAAGTACTATCTTCTTATGAACTAAAAAAGGTCGTTTTGATATGAGAATAATAGTTCATATTTAGATCAACTGTTCGACGAAAGTGAATCGTAAGTACGCATGTTCAAATCTACTTCTCCAAATATGTTCGATAGGTCTCGACGACTCAAAATTTATATTCGATGGGTTTGAACAACTTGAAATTCAGACATTTATCGGATAAAAATTCTTTTTCTCGATGAAATTTCGACCCATCAGAAAATGGCACTCCCAGGGGTCGATTGAAATTTCGATGCCCAACGGAAGCCACAATCGACGCGTCGAAATACCTATCGGATAGTTGGTTGGGTCTATATCGATATTTCGAAAATAATCGTTTAAATATCTAATCGACTTTTCTTATAGGAGATCATGTAGAACAAAAACAGATTAAAAATCTAATTAGACTGTTGGCTGTAAAATAGAGCTCCCTTCTTCTAACTGATCATGTGATTTCCAAGCAATCTCTATGGCTGAGAATTATTTGGTCATCTGGGTCGATGGAAATATCGACATGGCAAATCAAGATTGCCAAAATACAATGGAACAATTACGTGCTGTCGTCAATCAAGTTAATCCATGTAAGACAGCTGAACAATGCATACAACAGCTCACAGAAAATCAAGAGGAGATCTCATTTGTTATCTCCTCAGGTGCACTTGGACAACATTTGGTACCAGATATTCATGATATGGCAAAATTAAATGCCATTTTTATATTTTGTGGCAATAAACAACGGCATCAAGTATGGGCGCAAAATTGGCCGAAAATTAAAGGTGTTCACACCTCAATCAAACATATTTGTGACAAATTGGCAACAACAATCAAACAATGCAATCAAGATCACATGTCGGTAAGCATTGTTAGTGTGAACGCAGGAGGTTCTAGCAAGAATCTAGATCAGCTAGAACCTTCTTTTATGTATTCCCAAATATTCAAGGAAATACTCCTTGAAATCGAACATGAACAACAAGCCGTCCAAGATTTGGTCACCTACTGCCAAGAACAATATCAAGGCAATAAAAAGGAAATCAAAATTATCAATGAATTTCAACGTACTTATCAAGCATCCAATGCCATTTGGTGGTATACACGCCAATGTTTTACCCACAAAATGCTGAATGGCGCGTTAAGAACACTCAATGGCGACATTATGATACGAATTGGTTTTTTCCTGTGTGATGTACATCGTCAAATCGAAACTTTGTACAAGAATCAGGTCAGTCAATACCGTAACAAGGTTTTTACAATCTTTCGAGGGCAAGGCCTATCGAAAGTAGATTTTCAAAAGCTCGCAGAAAACAAAGGTGGGCTTATTTCTTTTAACAACTTTTTATCTACCAGCACAAATTCAGATGTCTCCCTTGTTTTCGCCAAAGAAGCCTTGAAAATGACTGATATGGTTGGAATTCTATTCCAAATAACCATTGATCCTACAGTATCATCAACTCCATTCGCCTCCATTCGAGAGGTAAGCTATTATAAGGAAGAAGAGGAAATTCTCTTCACCATGCACACCGTCTTTCGCATTGGTGAAGTGCGAAAACTTGACAACAATCGTGCACTTTATCAAGTCGATCTTCAACTTACGTCAGATGATGATCCACGACTTCGTGAATTAACTGACTACATACGAAAAGAGGTCAGCGGCACCGGATGGCGTCGAATGGGTCGATTGTTACTCAAAATAGGTCAATTCGACAAGGCCGAAGAACTATATATGGTACTACTAGAACAGGCATCGGATGATAGTGACAGAGCACGTATCTATAATATGCGGGTGTGGGTGTGGGTGTGGGTGGGTGGGTGGGTGTGGGGTGTAGGTGTGTGGGTGTGGGTGTGGGTGCGGGTGGGTGTGGGTGTGGGCGTGATCTTTCTTCCTTGCCACACTCACACCCCACACCTACACCCTATACTCATTTCAAATGATAGCAACAATGTGTTAATTATGGTTAGAAAAAATATTATATACTTCATGAAACTGGAAATAAATAAAGATTTCGTAGAATAATTCGACAGAGAGATGCTCTAATGTTCCTGTCATAGTTTGTCTTCATGTCATCATATTGAATATTGTGCATCATTCTAATCCAATAGATTTATGAACAATAGCACAAATTATAATTGTTCTTTCTACCTATAAGTAGTCACTGCAAGAAGATGATATTATTATTGCTATTGACCAGCTTCATAGATCAACATATATACAGATTGTGTTTTCTCTTCTTTCGATCATTTTTCTCCCGATAGTTTGTTCTTATGAGATGACAATAAATTTTTGCGACAGTTATGAATTATCTTTTTTTTTGCTTATGTAAAACGTTTTTTTGACATCATATATGTGACAACAATTATCTGATTTCGGATGATCATTTTTTCAATGAATTTTGAACGTCACTTCAATAGCATTTTGGTTAAAAGCAATTAAAAGTTCTGTTTTTCTTATTTTGAAAAAAAAACCAATATTCATCATAGCATATTAAAAAATAAAAGCTGTAACTTCCAGTCAACAT